CAAGAAGATCATCTTGCTAGTATCATGGGTATGAGATTCAGTGTCGCCTCCGGCAATTGGCCTAGGCATGATTCATTAGGATTATTATGCATATAAGTTGAATTTTTGGTTTCATTTTTCATCTTGAAGCACATCCCTACTGAAGGGTTCAGTCTAAAGAACGGCAACGAACTGCCTTCCATTTTAGCAGGCTTTTTATGACCTTTTGTGTCATCTGTTGTAAGTCATGCGCAAGTTCGACCGTTCTGTGTCTTCTGCTCCCACCCGCGATAGCCTCGTCCCTCCATCAGCTTTTGTGTATAACCTTCCTCAGAGATTTGACAGAGAGAGCGTGCGCCAAAAGGAAGACGGGCTACCAGTAGCAAGCCGGAAACACCTCCCCAGTGCGAACATCCTATTTGTTCTATAGAAATGACTTTCATTAGGGCTGGGTCGGAAGTAATGGGACTAGTAAACATGACCAACGGCCCGAGTGTTGGGCGGTCGCGGGCGTTGGTGGGGAGAACTATCAGGATTTCGGCCTGTATACTCTGGCCCTACTCTCTCTGTGATCTTCATCTGCCGCCATCCCTCTCATATTCATATCTCATAGGTAGTAGGTCTTGTGTATATCTCTTTATCTCTTCGCTCACCCCCTCTTATTTTTTCTCTCCTATTACTCTCATCTCTTTCTTGTTCTCTACCTTTGACCAATCACTTTGATTATTACGTTTCGCATAGTATCTTGTGTCTTGTGGCCTTCCCGGGTGTGTGGTCTGTTTGTTTGCTGTGTGTGTGCTGTCGTGTGATTTAGGTTTTTGTGTCGGCTCCTCTCCTCTTCTCTCCTCTCTCCTCTGTGTGGCTTCCCCCCGTCAGGCTCTCGACCCCCTTCGGTCACGTATATTTCTGTATCTTGATCGCGATGCCTCACCTCCCGGCCTCCTTGTAGTTGCGTTCGTGGAGTGAATAGAACAATATCTGCCGGATCCAATTTTTACCCTATTTCATACGCTTATCTCCGACCTCGAGATTTGTTAGTTACGGATGTGGTGTGTTGTGGTGCGCTTGGAGGGCTACGACCTCTTCGAATCTCCGCAAGTCCTGTTTCGTAACTCATAATTCGCTCCTGTGTGTTGTGGTTGTCGGTGTGGTGTCCCAGTGTGTGTTGTGTCGGGTCAGTCTATCTTTCTCGGCTTTTTTCCCGTGCGGTTGCTGCATCGTTGGGTGTCTTACAGTAGTATGATGTCCCGCGTTCTGCGGTCCGTAGTTGGGTGTTTGGTGGGGTGCTTTTCGGTGTGCTTTGTAGGTATCTGCCCTCCTCTTTCTGTTTCTGATCGCGGGGGTCCTTTTTTTCTGTTTTTTCCCCTTTTCTTGCATCTTAAAGCACACCGTTTTTTTTTTATTTCTTTATAACATGGATGCATCAGGCGCAATTCTGTTTCGCTACATCGTGACGGAAACGAACAGACATATGGTTTGATTGAAATGGGTGCAAGACTGACGACAGATATTTATTTCCATCGCTTCCTATATCAAACAGCGTCGCGTCAGGTTTAGTTAACTCAAAGGTACGTCGATAATTGAGAGGCGAACTTTATATAGGCGAGTTCGCGCTGGCCGCTTTTTCTAAGTAAATGGCTACTATCCTTCCTTCTGGCCGCTTAAGAGCGATATACGCTGAACTTCCCTCGAGTTTGCTCTCTGCTTTCACTTTACCTTCTTTGGCGCTCTTGTGGGTCTGGGCTGTCGCCTTCTCACGCTCACCGATCTCTCCGCAGGCATGGATTTTAGGGTCCCTTTCGCTTATATACAGCCGGCTTGCCGGGGATGCTACAGTAACGGAAAGGTCTGCTCCTGGGTACCGACCAGGTGGGGGGACGACAGGGGTAGCTTGTGTGTGTGTGTGATGTTAATATTCGCAGGTAAAATGGTAGAGGTCAGCATGACTTCCCGCAGAAATGTCATTATTTTCCCTCAAAATGTGGAGTGGATAACTTCTGGGGCGTGCGATCTTCTAGTCCGGGGTTTTTGTTTTCTATGAAATTGTATTTTGGTATAATTGCTAAACTGTTCGATATAAATTCTGTTAATTTAGAAGACAATTCATGGATACTTCCTCGGTCAAAGCCGTCCGTGTGTTAGGGAAATGATTTCCGATTTCATTGTATTTCCTTAATGATCTTCAACGTGAGCCCTCGGATTCCGTAAATCAGGGCAAACCCAATTTGGGAGGGAATGAACATGGGGTTTGTGCCAGTTCTCATCTGGTGGCAAAGGGTGAGTCAACGGCTTCTGGGAGCAATTAACGAGTTTTGAAACATTTTGTTTTATGAAGCGCTTTGAGCCACGTTTACAACTTTACATTTATGATAATATCTCACAATGCTAAAAATTCGCAGGGAAAACGTTCAGAGTTCGAGATTCGCCAACGGGAGTGCAAGAAATTGCTAGATCTTCAGCTTGATCCTGGACTTAATAGTGAAGTAGTAATGGGAGCGGATAAAATTCGATCGCGTGTAATAATTATCTAATGAGCCATAGCATTATGAAATGTTATATGTCATCTTAATAAATGTGGATAGCTTAACAGTATGCGGCAAGCTTATGACGAGAAAATTCTAACACAGTTGCCGAAACAGGTCAGTCGAGCATGGTTTGTTGTAAGCTAGTACTGTGGCTTCGAAAAGATATGAGACACGAAATTACACTTAATTCAGCCTTCATGGAACTTTCGCGTCGAAATGTAGATCGAGTGGACGAGCCAGAAACCCACAACTCTCTTTGTCTGTCGTTTGTAGTAGTTAGAATGCATCCAACAACTCCTTCCTGTATACAGGGGGCGGGGGGCAAAGAAAATAAAGTATTTCGGCAGAGCCACATTCAACGAGTTTTTCGCAGTCCAAGAACAGCGGGCAAGTGGATATGAGTTACGGAGTGTGAGATACCCAATATCTTCCTCTATAAGACTGGAAGCAGGCTGCCGCCAATCGCCCTTCATGTACGCATAAAATATTTTGAAGATCATCTCGCAGTCGCGGCCTGACTCTGGAGAACGAGCTTTTGAAAATTCACGTCCCGTCCTAACAGGTGGAAAATTTCTAATTGGTAATGAATCATCCAGGATAGTACTGGAGGTCAGTTACTCTTTCATCTAGCAAGGACCTCCACATCGGCAGCATACGGCAGCGTCGTACGGTCCGGGTATCATCTTCACGGCAGTCGCAAGCGCCGGATTGATGGTATGGGCGGACGGACACTTTGGAATGGGAAAAAACAATATATTTTCTTAGTGGCACCACCGCGTAAGCTGGAGCGCTGAGCGATTAAATCGCACCAACTCAAGAAGAATAGTCGTTCTCACATAGTCGTCCCCCGTACCTTTTTGAAACTTCTGTACTGCTACGAATTGGGTTGACACCACGTGAACATCGGAAGGGCGTTTTAGGAGAAACTCGCTACCTGGAACGGGAAGGTGGCTGAGTACCTAAGGAAGACGAATGTCTAGGTAGGACCACTGACCTGATCCTCAATTAACCCGGTTTCGAGCGGCGTTCAAGTGGATGGGTGGCCTTACGGTGCGGAGGAAATACGAACCATCTCGGTGATCTAGGGCCACATCGACCGTTGCGCGTGCCAGAATTCTCTCAGTGGCGCTCCTCCAGAAGGCGGTAGGCAAAGTGTAGTAATAGTATTAATATGCTCTTTAAATATTGGTGCAGAAATGTTCCGTCAGATTTTAAATAAGTTGCATAGATTACGGCTCGGAATTCTAATGAAGCAAAAGCTAACCTTTTTTTGCCCCCCCCTTGTGCGTAGACACGCCACGTTAGGCCACCCTATTGACCCGTCTGCAGACCGTGTCTTGACGCAGGTAATTGGAGCACCGAGACTCTGTTCGATCCGCAGCTCGGATTTTTTCGCGCTATCAATCTCAGACATTCGCTTTCTTCCTTCAATGTAGTCAGCGCCACTCGCTGTTCCAGGTGCGCGTGTGAGAATGTTCATACTGGAACGTCTTTCTCGATATTTCACGTGATAAGTTTTGATTCTCGAGAGTTTGTTCAGCGGTGTACCCAATTCTGGGTTTGCCAGTACAAAGTTTCCAAACGGTTTAGGCTGGGTTTAGACGAGATTGGAAAAGATATTTCTTTCTTGGAGTTGCGTCGTTCAGATTGTAACCGCCTACGCGCCTCAGCTTCAGCCCGGTGCGTCCACAGAAGAATATTTGGCGGTTTTTTCCATTCCAGGCTGAATCCGTCGGGTTCCCATACCAATCATTCGGCGCCTTGGCGAATTGACCGTGAAGAGTGGATATCCCCGGACCGATAGCCGACGTTTGCCGTAGCTCTGCTCACATGTGGTAGGTCTTGCAGATCAAGAGTACTGACTCCAGTAGCTATCTGTGAGGATGACTGTCATTCAAAGGAAGTTCTCGCAGCCTGTTGGACGCGACGTGAATTTCAAAGTGTGTCTACGTCAGGCCGCGACTGGAATGACTTCATATTGTAGCGTACATGAAGGCGATTGGCACGCAGCCGCCCTCAGCTTATAGAGGAAGATAGTGGGTATCTTTCCACGTCTCGTACTCATATCCACTCTTTCCCTGTTGGACTTGCGAAAACTTCGTTATATGTGCGCTCTGCCGAAATGACTTTTTTGTTGTTGCCCCCCCCCCTGTATACAGCGAGGAGTTGGTTGGATCATTCTACTACTACAAACACAGACAAGAAGAGTTGTGGGTTTCTGCTCGGTCAACCTCGACTACATTTCGACGCGAAAGTTCCATGAAGGGCTGAATTAAGTGTAATTTTCGTGTTCATATCTTTTTCGATAGCCACAGGTACTGCTACAACAAACATGCTCGATTACCTGTTTCGCAACTGTGTTAGATTTTTCTCGTCATACTTCCAGCAGATGTAGAGCTATCCACATTTATTAGATACAATTACATTTATAAATGCTATGGCTTCATTAGATCATATGACACCGATCGAATTTTTCCGCTCATTACTACTTCATCATTAGCATGGATCCACTTGAAGATCCTCGCAATTTGTGCACTCCCGTTGGCGAACTCGAACCTGAACGTTTTCCATCGATTTTTAGCATGTGAATATTATCCTAATGTAAAGTTGGTAAGTTTTGCGCAAGTCGCTCATAAAACAAAATTGTTTTCAAATCGTAATTGCTCAGAAGCCGTTTGACTCACCCTTTTGCCACCAGATGAGAACTGGCACAAACCCCATTCCTCCCATGGTGGGTTGTCCCTGATTACGGATCCGCTCACTGAAATCAGAGGAATAAATGAATCGGAACCATTTCCCAACACACGACTGGCTTTGGACTGAGGAATGATCCATGAGATTGCTTCTAATTTACAGATTTATATCGAACAAGTTTTAGCAATTAACACAAAATACAATTTCATAAGAAACAAACAGATAGAAAGATCGACGCAGAAAAGTACAGTTCACATTTTGAGGGTAAAAGGGACATTTCGGCGGAAGCTGCTGACTCTACCCTTTTATGCGAACCTCTCTTGGTTCTGAGCCCTATCACCGCTCATCCAGCCATTTACTTAGGAACGCCCCCTTTCGCCCTCAGATATGGACGTACTTTGAGTTAACTAAACTGACCGACGCTATTTGATAGGAGCGATGGAATAAATTCTGTCGTCAGTTGGCACCCATTTTCAATCACCATAGTCTGTTCGTTGCCGTCAACGAGTAGCGAAGAATCAGATGCCGGTGATGCACCATGTAGAATACATAGACCAGATTTGTAGGTTACTGCCTGGAAGATGAGGTACTTCAGAACAGTGGAAGTTCTCCTCGGAATCCTTGTCATGTTTCTTCCCATTGCTAAGGGAACAATAGACGCTGTTCGCATGGGCGGTTTCCGGCTTGCTACTGTGCCGATTTCGTTGGCGCACCGCTCTTCTCTGTCATCTTGGAGGAAGGTATCCAAAAAGGAGGGGGCTCTTCGGGAAACTCGTCCCCATCCATGCCAACAGTGCGTGCTGTGTCTTTAGATCCACTTAGTAGGATGGCTTGCGAAAGAAAATGAACCAAAAACTCACTTTGCATTTCCTGTGATCGATGCAGGCAGCAATGCAGGCGACCACTGAATTCATACCAGGATACGAGGAGATGATCTTCTTGTGCATCTGTTTGGCAGGATATACTATGTATGGTGTTTCAGCAGAGCAGTCTTTCTTTGCTTAAAGAATTCTTCTTTATTGTCTGACAGACGGTCAGGTTAACAACAATTTTTTTTTCTATTTCCCTCGTCTTAGTAACGAGTTATACTCGAAATCCCTGAGGCTGGGTAGGCGTGACCGTATGTTTCAACATAACCTTGAGGTCCCTTGTCAGTTGTCCCAGACTCGAATATTCCACGAGTAACCAATTCCGTGCCATGTTCAAATGCCACGCCTACTGTGGGGCAGGGATAAGGAGTGTATCTCCAGGCAATGATTTTCGAGTAGTACAGAAGGGCACATTTTGGAGCACCGGTTTGACCACATTTGTCTCAAACTCGATACCTCAACAACTTTTATAAAGTGATTAGGTAGAAATTCTGGCTGCATATCCCGCAACCCTAAACCGGATGAGACCACCAGGTTAGCAGTGGTGTGTTACGCCATTGGAGAGAACGGGGATATCGGAAAATCAGCGCCACAAGTCCAGCGATTCCAGAGCGGAGATGAGAAGTTCCAGAGCAAAGATCATCCTCAGCGACCTGGGACTGAGAAATATGTACTCAGGTCCCGAAATGAGGAAGCCTGTCGCCTTGTGACAAAAAAGTATCCCATCCAATTCACTTGCCAGTAGCGGAATGAATCCCCCGAATCTAACTTTAGTGAGACCTATGGGCTAGTGAAGCTGCGAAATGATTTTAGTAGCCACTTTGTTCAGAGCCCTTCACAAATTTTCACAGCAGATCACACCCTGATTGGATTAGGCAACGATCAGCGTCTCCATATCACAAATACGAGCTCACGACTGGAGCCATGCCCATCCGCTAGGATAGGTGCTGAGACTGAACCGCCGGACCACCCAGCGTCAGACACCTCGCGACCAAGGTCGCCTGGTAAAATTAGTCCGGGCCACAATGATCGAGAATGCTACTCTAATGAAAATCTAGGGCGTGACCCCGGAGCGACGACGCGCTGGGTTCGCACCGAACCACCGTGGAAAATGGACTAGGCTAACCGGTTCAACGGGCGGAACTGGCTAAGAGAAGACGCCCATATGAGACGCTGCGCTTGCCACGCTGAACATTGGCACAACTCACAGGACGCGCGGCAGCGACTAGCTGAAATGTTGAAAAGGCGCCAAGAGTGACATACGCTTGCATTCAGGAGCCGAGGTGCGAAGGGACAGAAATCCGGACATTGGCGCAGGTAAAAGCAAGTTGAGCTATATGGCGAGACGAACAGTAAAGTGTGGACCATTGTCGTAAGTACCGACCAGCGCAGTCATTGATCGCAGAAATGCGACGCCATTCAATAGGACGCACTCCGCTGTGATCGAGGTGGCCACGCGCCGGAGTGGTGTGTGTGTGTGCGTGAGCGCTCGTCCGCGAAAGCGGTTGCGACGATGTTGGAAAAGGAACAGTTCTGGACTGATACTAACAGATCACATTGCAGCAGTCCCAGAGAGCGGAAGCAATCCTGCTCTGTGCGACGCTACAATGGCCACGTTGGGTACGCTCAGAATGGTTACAGCTGTCATGGCACACAGCGTAACGATACGGACACGAAATGAAGATGGACGGCGTATTTAGATTCGCTGAGGCCCACGATCTGTTGTCGCTAACTACACTCTACTCACCACAGCGTAGAAAGTCACCTAGTTACATATACGAGCGGGGGCAACAAAGTAAATACTTTCGTGTGGTCCGCAGGCGAGAATTTAGTTCATTCTCTAAGCGCGAAAGGTCATTCATCAGACCGCCTGGCACCCGCAACCACGGAGATGCTCGTTGTGGCACCAAGGTGACCTAGGCGTAGCACGCACGTCGGCCCGGTCCTTGGGACCGAGAGCAGTATCAAGTGGTGCGAAAGCTTGTGTGGACAAGGAAGCGATATATTGCCGCGCGGTGCAGCTTACCGTCCAGCCGATGGCAAGCCAATCGACGACTTGTGGAATGAGTTTAGCAGATCCGTTATACGACTCGCTGCTAAGTCTGCTGTTAGGAAACCACGAAACCGGTCGACGTATTGACAACAAACGTGGTTGTTGACGGGCGAAGTGAAGCAGAAAGTGAATGGAAAGAAGGCTGCCGTACAAGTCTTGGCTTACGGATATAGCGGAAAGCCCGTAGAGAGAGCAAGTCTGGCTTAGTCTAACGCATTCACCTAACGAATGCCCCAAGGTAAAACTACCTGGCCACAGCCAGAAGACGTGAGTCTAGTGTTAACGGACAAATGGAGAGCGGCTGCATAGTAGGCGCCGAAGATTCTGCTTCGTGGTAGGAACATTCAACGAGATTTCCAAACGTGGAGTTCCGCACCGCGCCTATTCCAGAAGTCCGCCGACGCCGGTTCCAGTACAGACGATCTCAGTCGAGGAGGTTACCAAGGCGATCGATAAAATTGAATGAACCAGAAAGTCGCTAGGGCGCAGACAACGCTACGAGCAGAGGGTCTGGGGAAAATGGAAATGCGAGATAGAGGTATTCCGTGGCTCCGCAGTTTCTGAATACGGATCGTTGATTCTGGCGCTGAGCGCGCAGCGAATGGTGCTACGAGGCATTACTGGTGCCAATCTTCAAAAAGCAAAGGAACCCGGCCGTGTGGCTGCTAACTATGCGCCCTAATTCCTTCTCTCGCATGACCATGAAAATCTTTGAGCGAATCCTCGATCAACGGTTGCGTGACATGATTGATCTGAGTGGACAACCAGTGGCGGCTTCGTGAAGAGACGACGGAAGCAACGACGCATTTTCGGCCGCCCGTTCGACTCATGAGAAGAACGCGGAGAAGCGGAAACCACTCCAATAGCTTTCTTGGACGCTCGGAGAAAGCTACGATCGGCGTTCCCCCCAACTCATTACTGGTCTGGCGTTATCGTGAGCATGGAGCTGCCCGAAGCACTTATCAGCTGGGATTTCAAGATGCTGTATATGAACACCACCAGTCCGCTCGATGTGCATTGGCGGGTTATCCAAGAGCTTTCCGATAAATAGTCCGGAGTTCACGCAAGGTTCTTGCCCTCTCACGTCACTGCTATTTATTCTCAATCATGAGACACATTACCAAGAGATTCTGCAACAGCGCGCGCCGCATGAGCTTTGCTCTATGCTGACGATGTTCTCCCTGAGCGGACGCATAGGGAGGAATTGAGCGTCAAGTACAACATGGGAGTGACCGCCTTAAGCCAGTAAATGGCCATTCGCCTAAACATCAGGAAAAGGAATACTTAGAAACTAACGCAGCTATGCGAAGCACGATATGCAAGTGAAGCGCGAAGACTTACCGAAAAACAATGTCTTTTAGGTACACTAGGGTCTCGCTTGCAGAGTACCGAGGTGTCGATGATGAGATTACGAATGAAGAGTGCCACGCCGCATGGATGAGCATGGAGGGGAGATCACTGGCGTGCTGTGTGATAAGGCGCATGCCTCTTCGCCTAAAATCAACAATATAACCGGGACTATGGTTTCGACCCGTGCACTCTAATCGGATCCGAGTGCTGGCCAGCCACCAGAAGTGCCGACGCCAACTCCACCGCCATGGAATGCGTAATGCTGGCGTATGTCCATGGGCCATTTAACGCCCGCGCAGAATCAATAACGAACGTGATTCGAACCAGATGGGAGTCGCTCCAATCGCTCGGCAGAAGATGGCAGGAGAGGCGGGCTTCAGTGTATGGCCATGTTTTGGGAAGCCGAGAGTGATAAGCCTCGCTGCTCGCTGGTTATGCGAGTTTGAAGTCCCATAGGAGCAACGACCGAGAGGAAGCCAAAAAACGCGCTGGCAGGAACACTCATCCAATGCGAACATGAAATGGTCCAATCTTTCGCAGAGAGGATTGCACTAGATCGTGCTAAAGTGGCTATCGTCGATCAGAAGAACGGACGCTGCCACTGCGGACAAGATTAGGATGAAGAAGAGGAGGGACGCTGCTCTGGATTCGTTGAGTAGCGCATTTTGGTGCTCCCACCCGAAAGTCACCGCGCCTACCTTCGAACGCCATTCGGCTGCGCTGCTATCTCAACCGTTGGCAAACTCACACCTCATTTATCACATTATGGCTACCCTGCCTTTATCACAATGTACCCCTTTTTGTGATTACTAAAAACTCGTCCGCAGTTTTTTTTTTGTTGGCTCAAGCAGCGCTAGTTGGAGCTGCTCAAAAAAATTTGGCGTATCTGCTTTTCGCATGAACATTTCAGCCTACGTGCTACACTTGCGAGTCTCCACTCATTTTTTTCCGCTCCCTAGGCATGGAACGTCGTCCTACCAACCAGAGTCATTCCGATCTCTGCAGGCTAACATCTAGACATGCCCTTCTAGACTGTATAGTATTGGAGGTAGTTCAAATTTCAAAACTGCGTGTGCAGGGGCAAACCTGTCTTGGCTTGGTACAAATTTTAGTTTTCACTGAAATTAGCTAGGATTTTTAGGAACGCTGATCACAGTGGTGAACTATAGAAATTTGGAGTGAATGTTTGAATTGCGCTCGCTGTGGTAAATGGTGCTGATGTGATGGTACTTATTAATTTCGAGCGACGATGAACTAAGGTAAAAGCTAACTGTAAGAGAGCTAAGAGCAGCCTGGGGTGTAAATGAGTTCCTATTCCTTGGAAATGAGGTCGAGATTCCAAGCCTTGTTATGGCCAAGGTTCTGCGTACGCTCACTATGAATTGGCGTGTTATCTACTCATCATTGCTAGGATGAAGTTTATGCGGTTCGAAACCGCTTTTCGATCCATCGGCGCCACGAGTCAGGCTGGGATCTTATCTTCACGCGTAGGCACCCGTGAAGATTTGCTGTGTTCTTAGTGACCTGATTAGGGTAAACCGAGTGAACTTTCTACAGTTATCCGCGTAATTGCTGACTACAAGGAACCTAATTAGGATCTTCTGGTTACACAGAGGACTATATAGTTTTAACACTTCTGGCTGAGTAGTCATTCCCTGTTCAGCACTTAAAAACACAAGTAAACCTGGTATAAAAAGATTGTTTCTTACTCTGGACACAGAACTTGTCAGCAAAGATGAAATTGGCGTCAGTGCCAAGATGAGCAATATTTCGGTCTGACTTTGAACGTTCTCCATAGAGGTAACACTTCTCGTCAGCGGGTTCATAATTCGCTGCGTAGCAAGGGATCGTTTCTCCGTTGGAGTTCTGGAAAATTTTCGTAAAAACCTTTTGTTTGTAGTTTTGTCAGTTTTCAGGCAAGAAAAATGTCTCTCTGAATATTCCCCCACAGCATAAAGCTAGTACAGTCTTCTTTGTTGCGAGCGCTGAGCGTGTCAGCGGGCCGGGTTTGGCGCTACTCCAGCCTGTTTCCCACCAACTGTTGTCGCTTGCCCTCCTCAGCTATTGATGGAGAACGGGATGGGCCATACCAAATCCGAACTCCCTTGACACGCTCCTGCATCCGCAGCGAACAAGACTGTACCAGGGCCACCCATGCTCAGCCGGATCTCCTACTGCTGAACTTTTCCTGGGATGCTCAGTTTCGCGCAGTTGGTGGAGTATTTGCAAGAACCAATCACAGACGCCCTCAGCTGAATGATGCCGATTCGCGGAATGATTGCATTCTCATTATAAAAAATCCATGTTGTGTTGGGTCAAATTCTACAGTTCTTGATGTATTGAGCAAAATAGATTGGTCCGGGATCCTCCCAGAGTGCGGTCTACGTTCTACACTGCGGCGATGATTTGCCGGTTGCAGTTGCAAACAAACAACAAAAATAGCGATACCCTGAGCCATAAAAGAAGTAACAGTTAGAGCTCGGAGCTCTTCAACTATTATTTTTTAGCGCAATTTAAACTTTTGAGAACTACTCACGATATTCTGTGTACAGTACATAACGCAACTGCTTTGATCGATTCCTTTGAGCCGAGCCGCAACGTTTGTGGACGCTAATCGATATCCAAAGAAGACAAAATAGCTGACTGTTTCCTCCTTTTGACATGCTGTAATATTAGAATGGAATTTCGCCACACGTTGTATTCGGTCATAGCGCTGGTTTTGAGCTATACAATAGAAACAAAGTGCAGCGCGGAAGCGACCTGCTATTGGCTATTAGCAGCAGACAACCAATTATAGACTTTTCCTACACGCGGTGCGCTCATCTGCTCTCTTTCAGACCACCTCATCGTTGGTGCTTCGCGACGAGTAAGTAAGGAGTCTACATCTTGTCTGATGATATTTTTTATAACTGATTTGTTGATTTAGGCCGTCACAAGTGTTCAATATGACCTCACGCCCACCCCTGGTCAGTGACATGGTAGCTTTGCAACTCTTACTTTTTACATGCAGGCCATACCTAGGCGTTGGAAGGGGAGTGTCTACGGACTCTGATGTGATGGTTGGTTGAAGCAGAGGCACAAACTGTATGTGCACATCTGAGCGCGATTACCAAAAAAATGTGTCAGTGCACTTCTCAGCCATTTCTGTCTCATCCTAAATGTCTGGCACCCCGTCTAGGGATCTAGGTCCACAGACACTTCCTTCCTGACGGCAATATATGCACTGTATTTGACAATTGGTCTAATCCGCCCATGCTGCACCCCTCCCCTCCCCCCCCCCCTCGATTAGGGGATTTCTGAAAGCAGCTAGGGTATGATAAGCGCCTCTGTATTGAGGTCGTCTAGTCAAGTGTTCCTCGTGCCCATAAATTCAGGTATAGTCACAACCCGTGCAATCATGATCGCTGCAAACGACAGGGCGTGGAATGGAGCGAAGCCAGAATAGCCTCTACAATTGTTGAGGACTCAGAATTTCATCATTGGCGGGAAGAGCGGCACAATCCACGTCCCGTCATACGCCCTATCGTTGGACTCACGACTGTACACGGTATCTCATTTTTCCAAACAATTGAGAAATATGTTGAAATTCTTACCGTTGCTATGCGTAGGATTCAAGAAGCGGTATCCGTCAGTAGGTTCTTCGAAGCTTTGATCCACAATTTCATCAGGATATGTGAATGTGGTGGTGGGCGAGGTGGTGGTAGTGGAGGTGGTGGTGGTGGTCCAAGGTTCCTCTGTGGTGGTTGTAGTGCTGCTCCGAAGCGCCTATGAAAACATTATCGCAGATTTATACAAATTTTCACTTGAAAGCATTACCGTGAAGTCTAATGATCCCATTTGAGAATCTAAGGAATTTTCGTATTTTGTAAGTTCAATGGGACTCTCTACGGGTTCAATTTGAGCTGCATATTGGCGTGGATGTTGTTTGTAGCCACGTTTTGGAACTGAAAATAGATATCATCAAGGAGTGTCAGAACTGATAAGCTGAAAACCTAACTGTCGTCAGCTTAACTAAGCATCAAGGGATCCTAAAGCTCACCAGCCTTATCCTGGCAAACTCCAACCCAACTCGTGCGCTCGTAAAAGTCGTGGCCATAGGCTGGGACCACTTCGGCTTCTGAATCAATACCTTGTATTTATGTATCAGTGATTTTTGGTGAAAAAATTTGACAACTTTATTGTAGCTTAAGAGATAATTTGTAGAGCATCCGCTGAAGTTACTCATGTATCGTACTGAGGTAAAGGTAGCGCTTTCCTCTTTGGGCTAACTTGTCGAGGAGTCTACGAGTTTCCCTTTTCTAATTACCTACCCGGGTCACGAGCTTATGAAAATTAGCATTTTCGAGTAAGAGCTGAGTGCTGCAACTCCTTCAAGCCAGGGTACTGCCTGTGTAACGGCCGGAGGTTTTATCGTGGGGCCTCAGATAAGGGTGGTTTTTTCGTGGGTGAAAGATAAGGTGAGAAGCGCCGCGCATTCTGCACTCCGTATGCGGGGTTGTGGAGGGCGTGGCTTTATACTGCATCGTGCATACGTTTTCCATGCCACATTACGCTTGAGACAACTGTCATTCTGTCTTATGCTGGACAAAGGTATGATTACAAGTGTTCCAAAATGTCAGTATTCCACCAAAGCCCAACTCCGCGAAGTTCAAATAAGGCACGTGCCACGCCCTCCCTATCTCCGAGATGTAGGGGTAGATCCTTTCAAAATCCGCCCAGAATTCCCATTTCGAATGCGATTTGCCCTACGCATTGCAGGGACCAATACTTTCAGACAAGTACACAGACAAGTTTGCTTAAGCCTCAGCAGGACGGAAGGGTCTGTCGTTGATCCCAGTCCGGTAAGCAGGGGTAGTTCCCACCCCGCCTATTTGGCTTATTTCTTATAATGAGGTGGGAGCGGAGACTGTCTCCCGGGAAGAGCGAAAGCTCCCTATAAGTGGAGTATGGGACTCTACAAATAACCCACTCATCCCGAAAATATTTCATGAAATGGCGGTTTTTCACAGAAACAGCCCAATGTAGCGATTGTTTACTATGATTCGCTTTACACACTACACTAGAGAGCATTACATGTTACTCGTTCGGTTTAGTAGAGGCGATAAAAGGTAAAGTAACAGCAAACGAAAATGTCAACTTGTTCACCATGGAAATTTCCGCTATGTCCATAAAGTTGACATGTAGAATGCATCTTGTGGTAGGTCACTGAGGAGCAGCCATCCTGTAAACCTTTTATCAAACTTCAGAATTGTAAAATTTAAATTAATTTATTTCGTACAGAAAATCAGAAAACTCACCCCCATCCTAGCTGCATTCAGTATACAATAGTTCAGGCAGTCACCAACTGTGACTCGAAATAACTCTGCGATTGACTTCGAATTGGAGACGCCATGATCTTCTTTATATTGGAAGCATTTTGACGCTGTAAAGGTCATTTACAATGTTCATATTGGTAGAACAAACAATTTCTCTCATGAAGTAACACTATTTGATTACTGCTGAACGAAACTAACCTCCATTCTTCTAAAACGAGCAGTCCCCAAATTTTATTCCGAATGAATTTGAACTTCTCAGAAAGCTCCGAATTTCCTTGGATTTCGGCCAAATACTTGTCCCCTAGTAACTCCTCAATCCTTTATAACTCCCCTACGTCCTTTTTTGCTACTCGAAGATTGAAAACGAAAGACGAAACGAAACACTCGAATGGGTGGGGCGTGCTTGAGATGGGCGGCCGCTTCCCGTGTCACTAAAAAAATCAGCCAGCAAGCTTGACTACGAAGCACGGCTCGGAGACCTGGGAAAAGTGAAATTAGGATAGCACTGGTGGCACACCAAAATGGAGGAGAACATAACCGAACGGGCGGGGCGTGTGCTTAAGATGGGCGGCGTTCCCCGCAAGCTCGATAACTCGGTCTCGCGAAAAATGTTCAAAGAGGCGCAAAAAAGTCTCATGGACGAAAGAAGAATATCTTGCAAGAGTCCCACCATGTTCGCGGGCGTTCTGGAGGCCAGCGCCATTAGTGGGCGGTGGGGGGGCGGTGCATTATGAGCACGGAGCGAACAGTATAACAAGTCGTAGTTTTTGGTCTAAAATCACCGCAGCATGGTGCCAAAAACGGGATGTCGGTCTCAAAGTTGATCAATGGAATAATAGTGCGAGGCACTCGGCCGTTGTTGGCGGGCTGCACTAAACAATAAGGTAGGCGGAGCCAAAATTGAAACAATGGCGCAGAACGTTTCCGGTAGCAGCTAGCAGAGCATGGGAAAAAGTAGCTTAAGATCAGGGCGAGGGGTTCTTAGTCGAGAAGCCGCGAAGGGCATATGTTATGGCGGGCGTGCCCCGAGGTGGGGAGGAGTCCAACTTAAAATTTCACAAAACGGTTCCGGGCACTAACGGACTATAGGAAGAAGTAGCTAAGATCAGCGAGGGGTTAATAGTTGAGAAGCGCGGGCATAACGATGTGAGCGGGGCGTGCCCGCGGTGGGAGGAGTCAAACTTAACAATTTCACAAAACGAGTCGGTTCCGGAGCACTCACAGGCACAGTGCGGGTAGCCAAGTAGCGTTAGCTGCAGCGAGGGGTTAATATGTTGAGAAGTCGCGGGGCTATACGATGGTGATGCGGGGCTTGCCCCGAGGTGGGTGAGGAGCTCAAACTTAAAATTTCACAAACACGTTTCGGAGCACTACCAGACATCGGGAAAGAAGTAGCTTAAGATCAGGCGAGGGGTTATAGTCGAAGAAGCCGAGGCATATGCTTATGGGCGGGGCGTGGCGCGCCGAGTGGGAGGAGTCAAACTTAAAACTTCCAAAACGGTTCGCCAAGCAGCACTCGGCAGACATCGGGAAAGATTAGTTTGAAGATCACCGAGGAGTTATTAGTTGAGAAGCGGAGGGCGATAACGCGTTGGTAGGGTGGGGCGACACTCTGCAAGCTGGGTGGAGAATTTTTAAAAATTCCATGAGCACGGTTTCCAGAGCAGCTCCCAGAAACAGTGGTTCAAAGTCATCAAAGGGTAACGTTCATTGGAATGTAAGCATACCTGTTGTGTGTGGAGCGTGCGTCAAGGTGAGCGGGGCGAGCCTCAAAAATTCTTAAGAGCGGTTCCAGAGGCATTCCGAGGCACTTTCGGACCTGCTATAACTGATAAAGCCGGCTTTGCGGGCGCGTGCTCATCGCCGCCTACTTACATTCCGTAACGAATCAAATGCTCGACTAGTACGCCGGCTTTTCCTTCTCAGTGTCGTCCACATTGATTCTCTTACCACCGACTCCATAGCATCGTAATAGTGTTGCAAAGGACAGGTAGGATCTAGTTTCAAGAATGTCTAGCACCTGTTTCGGGTATAAAGAAAGAGCTGATAGCTAACTAGGCGGGCTGACGAGATGTGTGGAAGTAAAGGCACACGCGGCGAAGCCGCGCAGGTATTCTAAGAGGCGGCGCCGGAGCCCGCCGCAAGCTGGCTTGGGTTTTCAATTAACAGGAATAGGCGCTTGTTGCAGGCCTTTAGGCGCTTGAACTTTTGGTTCTGATGATATTTCGATATAATTTTCACATTTTCCCGCTTATCAACATGTACGCAATCAGAGAGTCAAAGGATGGCGCGATCGGATCCAACTAGGGGGGGGTGCATTTTTGCACTTTCGGCTACTCCTCGTCGCATTGTTTGGCATCAACAACAGCTGACCAGCATCTTGCAACTGCTGACTAAGAACCCGAATGACTAGTACATTTTTGGCTTGGTAGTACTTCATGGCTTCAAAAGACTTCAAACATCTCTACTTGATGGCCCGATATCGAACAATGGAAAGCAATGAAGTGCAAATGGCACCAGCCCCTAAGCCAAACAAACGCCTCAGGTATCTCGTTACCGGATGCGGAACTCTAAAAGACGTAAGTCAATTTCTGCGGATTCTCCGGAATTGCGTTTCCAAGGTAAGATCTTTATTTGTCGCCAGAACAGTATGAGAATGCCAATGCATCATCATCCCGCCTGGTGGCAACGCCCAACGCGTCTGGCACTACAGTCGTCCACATCCTTTGGCACGTTGGTCGGGCGTGTCGGCGAAGAGGAGCGTGCCACTGTTTTGATAGCTTTTCAGGCCTTGTTCGTTGAAACGCGCATGCGGAACAAAAATGAATAGAAACGAGTCACACGAAGGATATAATACAGTAATGTACTTCCTGGTTTCAACATCTGTGGGCAGTCAGCGGGTGCGGGCGACCGCGCTCGCAGCGCGAGCCGACTGACTATTTGACTACTGCAAAGTGCAAGGATGACGAACGTGTAAATACGCTGTAATGTTATGTTTTTTTGAGTTAGCTTAGGTAAGTTTTGCTCGAATTTCCGGGAGGTATTTTTCCAGTCTGCCTCTATAATTGATAAAATAAAATACTAAATCAAGTGGTGCTAGAAAACCGTGAATTATGAAGCACGTATATTTTCAAATAGCAGTCAGTTTGAGTTTAGAATTAGGATTTTCAGGCTACACTTCAGTGGGCCCCGTAGTTGCCTGTTTTTCGAGGCTAGCAGTAATTTTTATTTCCCGATGCAATTGATGATAGCTTTCCTTGAATAGCGTCGGCGAATTTAGTGGAGGGGCAAACGGATAAACTTAAATTGAAGGGAATGGTATGAGAAATCAAGGCACTGAAAATACCGTTAGTTGACGAAAAAAAACGACAGCCTCATTAAAATATCTTCAAGGGTCTGGGACTGTTTTTGTAGTCCCTGAGCTTTTGACAAATTCTCTTAATTTTGCTCCTCACGTATCACTGTATCTTTGTGTTATAGCGGTGTTTGAGATCCACATTTCTTTTTGAAATATTATGTACTTCCTACAAGAGGAAATTTGTGTTTTCTTAATATTATTATATTAATGATTGGTAGGCGAAGCTTATGAATGTTCCACCTAAAACCCTCGTAAGGCACGAAACAATTAAAGACCATCCTTACAATTATTTTATTACTGTGTCGAAAAAATATAACAAAGCAAAAGTCTTTGCACTTTGTCACACATTTTCCAAAAGGTCGTATTTATCTGTCTCTATACTCCCTAAGCATTATTATTTTCACAAGTAAGAGAGCGTAATTACCTTAAAGAAATGAAAAAATCACTTCGCTCAAAGTTACTTACTAAATGTTAAGGAAGTTGATGAAACGTGATGAAATGAAGCGAATAGTAGCGAGATCCACAGTATCATGGTGTCTATTGGGCGCACGGAGAACAAGATGGATGAAACAGTGAAAGCGCGAACAGGCGTCGTGAATGACCTAAATTATTCAGTGCAAACTGGGAGCTTATAGGTCTATAGCGTTTATCACTGAATGTGAAGATTTTAGTTTTCGGAAAAAAAGTTTTTATATTGGAGAGGGTTCATGATTCCTTTTCAAGTTACTACAAAGAGCTTTTTGTATATAATTCTATAACAATATCACTTGCGATAATTAGCGCTATCTAATCAGCTCGTAACCACTTTGCTGACCTAATTGCTAACAAAGTCATTGAGGGTTCCTTTGGCCTTCTAAAAGGTCACAGATATGTGCCTTCTTTTAGTAGTTTTGAAGCCCGTTTCGGGTATAGGAAGCATTTTCAGAAGTGCTGTCCAATACCTCTAGTGATCGCCTTAGGAAGCTGCATTCATGAGCAGAACTGTATTCCAGCAGTATTTATTCCAAGGTGGTACCCCAAGTAACGTTTCAGCACCTGTCATCAAAGAATTGGCGCAATGGACAGAAACGAGCTAAGGGGTGATTTATCCCTTCTGAAGGCGATAGAAGACTGCTGTTGATCAATCACTTTCTGCAGTAGACCTCCAGTTCATCATGTTTGCAGATAATACCCCTTTTTGATACTGTATGTTTGCACACAACGATATTACAAAACTGTTTACTGCTTTACAGTGTGGACTGTTTCCATTTGTTGATATTAATAAACTGTTGACAACAGTCGGTCAATGGCAAACAGTAATAACCTTGCTGTTCAATCAAACTTGGGGAAAAAATGAAAATAGATCTCCTTCCGCGTGAATGCCCCTATTTCTATTGAAGAATGTGGCACGATTTGATCAGCCACTAGGAGAACGACAGGCTCGGTTTCCCTGAAGCATGGTGAACGTGTGAAAGTACAAAGAGGCCTGAAAAGGGAAAAATCACCAAAGAAAAAAAATTTGTCGCTTTAAATACGACCCCCCTCTTTGATGAGGGCACATAATTAGCTGAGGATTTCCATCGAGCGCGCACGACCACCCTCTCTCTTCTAAAAGGTGGCTTGATAACGTTGGAACGATCTGGTTAGCTCCTGTAAAGGAACTGTCGAGCAGGGGTTAGGGGAGCAGGCGAGGGTGGGGGTATATGGAACACATGAAACAGAAAAATGAAGGGATGTCCCAACCGAGGAGAATTTTTTCTCAACTTGGTTAATTTCTCTCAAA